ATGTAAATATATATATATATATATATATATATATATACATTAGTAATATGAATATATAGGCCTATATAGTAAAAGAACATATATATTAGTAATAGGAATATATGAATATATATATTTATATATTTAGCATTTAGACACTTTATGTTGTGCTAGATTGTGATTATAATCGCAAGTATGTTTGCACAATTTTTTTTTTGTATTTTAAAATGATGTACCAAATAAATCCAGATTGATTCTGGAATACTTTGTTCTTTTAAATGTGGCCCCTGCTCTGTTTGTGAGGTGTTATTGGACCGTTTGAGGTGAAGTCTGTCTCGGCGCTCTTACCTCAGCGGTAGCTAACAAGCTGCTGAAATCATTCCTCACTCACCCACCATGATGTCATAGCTCTTGGTGGAGGGAGACGGGGCTCTGTGCTGACGAGACGAGCAACCCGTTCGGAGATGAGAGAGATTATGGGAGGCCTGTGGGTTTCGGCAGAGCCAGGATGAGCACAGACGTGCCTGAAATGTCCATATTCACTGGCACTTCACAACGCGGATAAATCAGTCACGACCCGCTCATGATAGGTCTCCTTTTCCTCCCTTCTAGATGGATTTCGGTTTTATTTTTATAGGTTTTGGCAGCCCGTCCTTATTGTTAGCCACTCTGGGAATCAACTTCATTTGTTGACGTGTCCGTTTTGAGTTATTTGTCATTTTGAATGCAGGACAGACACTTTCTTAATCTTCTTAATCTCAAAAAAATGTTCCTACTTATGTCAGTTATTATAGTATTTAGATGCACTTTTCAGGAAATTAATATAAAAATCACTTTATTTACTATTGTAATCATGGTCTTATTGTCCATGATTATTAATGCATATTAATTTAAAGAATATAAAAAATTCATAACCTTTCATCAAAATGTAATAACTTTCTATGCTGGACAAACACTTTGCAAATTTTTATGCTTTTTTTTTTAAATAAGGATTTAGAATTTTTTTTTTTTTTTATAAATTTTTTATTCTTTAAAAAAATTAATTCTAACACTTAATTTCTGAATGCTGTACAAACACTTTGCAAATCTTGCAAAAAATAAAATTCCCTTTTATTTTTAAAAATAGTGTCATTAAAAACTTTATTTGTATAGAAAGTTGTTTTTTAAAGAATTAAAAAAAAATCTTAAACCTTTCGTCAAAATGTAACAACTTTCTCTCCAAAATTAGTTTTTGATTACATCATTTTTTAATGCTGGACACTTTCTAAATCTCGATTTTCCTCATTATAATGAGAAAATACAAATGTGATTCCAGTTCTGCGAGGATTATATGTTTAGGTCTAAAAAGATTTCATTCATAATGGAGGAAAGGTTGCAGTCTGTTGATCATTATACGTATTTTCAGTTCGTGGTCCTTTAGATACATAAATGCACGCTATAATCCATCGTATTCCCTCAGTAGGGCCGGCATCTGATTGCTATTAACTCGAGGGGGATATAAATTACTCGAACGAAACGAGTAGAAAGCATCATCTTAATAACACATGCAGTCAATTTCACTCAGCGTTAGCGATGGGAGTGGCGCGGCCAAATCCACAGAAACCAAATGATATTCGTACAGTAGGAAAATGCGGTGGAATTTGCCCGTCTGATTTCAATGAGGTGATCCAGGTAACAATACCCACCTTTCAGATGCAGAATGAAAATGGTTTCCCAGAGTGCTTTGCAGTTGGGGTTCAAATAAGGCAGATAAGCAGGGGGAAAGAGCGGAAAATAGTGAAAGAATGTGTGTAGATGGGGCGGTTTCAGTTTAGAGGCAATATCTGCTCAGCCGTCCATAACAAAGAACTTCATAAAGCGCATATGCAAAACCACTACAGTGAGGGGTTGCTCTTTTGTCTAGCTGTAAAATATATTAAAGCGGTAATAAAATGCCCTTTCCCACAGTAAAAATTGGCAGTTGACAACCTCCCAGGCATCACAACCCTTCTCGCCCTGGGCCTGCCCAACTTTCCTTGGGTTTGTTTGGTGTGTTTAATAGAGATAATTTCTTCCATATCAATGGGTTGGGTGCTCATGACAAAGCACTGGTGAGGCTTTTGTCCCAGGACTTTGTTCAGCCTCTGCGTCCTGGGCTTTCCCAGTTTTGCGTTTGCTGATTTGGGAATTGCAAGCCGGAAAGTCTTTTGTAGAGGTTGTGCAGCCAGCAATGGTTGTAAAACTGGGCTTATTCATTTAAAATGCCTGCAAATATCATGAAACACCAGCAGTTTGCTCCTCAGTTTAGTTTTTATTCTTGTTAGTGGTGTTTACTAGGTCAAGCGTCATTAATACCAGTTATTATACTTAAGGTTAGTGATTTGATCAAACCTTTAACCTTTTATTCACTGATCAAACCTACTTTATTTAAAAAAAAAGAAG